GTCAGACTGCAGTCCAAAGTGACCCAAATCAGATTTTTTTGGCTCATATGTGACTCAGATCTATGAACAGCCCAAGTCACATGGAATCTGATCCAGTTTGGATTTGGGCCATTTTCATAGGTCCAAACCAGCTACAGGTCGGATTTTTTGAAGTACGACCTCAGTGTGGACAGTCAGATCAGAATATGTGACTCTGATGTCGATTTAGAGTAACTGTTGTCACAATTCTGCACTAGCGAGAGCCGCAGTGAACGCAGACACATACTTATCTGAATTAAATTTTAATACAGATGTGTATAAGAAATGTCTGCAGCGTCAATATTTTATGCGTAAACAGAGACTTTTTAATGTGGACAGAGATATATTGGTCCACTTCTATCGCTCCTTTGTGGAAAGCATATTAAGTTTTTGTTCCATTGTCTGGTATTTCACATTGTCAGTGAGTAATAAAAGTAAACTGTATAAGATAGTTAATATGTCCAGCAAGATTGCCAGAGAACAGCAAACTAGCATGACGACGCCCTTCGAGTCCTGATTGGTGAGGAAGGGGCAGGCGATTATTAGAGATGTATCACATCCCCTATTTGATGTATGTACAGTGAGGAAAATAAGTATTTGAACACCCTGCTATTTTGCAAGTTCTCCCACTTAGAAATCATGGAGGGATCTGAAATTGTCATCGTAGGTGCATGTCCACTGTGAGAGACATAATCTAAATAAATCCAGAAATCACAATGTATGATTTTTTAACTATTTATTTGTATGATACAGCTGCAAATAAGTATTTGAACACCTTTTTTTGCAATTACAGAGGTCAAACGTTTCCTGTAGTTTTTCACCAGGTTTGCACACACTGCAGGAGGGATTTTGGCCCACTCCTCCACACAGATCTTCTCTAGATCAGTCAGGTTTCTGGGTCGCTGAGAAACACGGAGTTTGAGCTCCCTCCAAAGATTCTCTATTGGGTTTAGGTCTGGAGACTGGCTAGGCCACGCCAGAACCTTGAAATGCTTCTTACAGAGCCACTCCTTGGTTATCCTGGCTGTGTGCTTCGGGTCATTGTCATGTTGGAAGACCCAGCCTCGACCCATCTTCAATGCTCTAACTGAGGGAAGGTTGTTCCCCAAAATCTCGCAATACATGTCTCCGGTCATCCTCTCCTTAATACAGTGCAGTCGCCCTGTCCCATGTGCAGAAAAACACCCCCAAAGCATGATGCTACCACCCCCCATGCTTCACAGTAGGGATGGTGTTCTTGGGATGGTACTCATCATTCTTCTTCCTCCAAACACGGTTAGTGGAATTATGACCAAAGAGTTCTATTTTGGTCTCATCTGACCACATGACTTTCTCCCATGACTCCTCTGGATCATCCAAATGTGTCATTGGCAAACTGAAGACGGGCCTTGACATGTGCTGGTTTAAGCAGGGGAACCTTCCGTGCCATGCATGATTTCAAACCATACGTCTTAGTGTATTACCAACGGTAACCTTGGAAACGGTGGTCCCAGCTCTTTTCAGGTCATTGACCAGCTCATCCCATGTAGTTCTGGGCTGATTTCTCACCTTTCTTAGGATCATTGAGACCCCACGAGGTGAGATCTTGCATGGAGCCCCAGTCCGAGGGAGATTGACAGTCATGTTTAGCTTCTTCCATTTTCTAATGATTGCTCCAACAGTGGACCTTTTTTCACCAAGCTGCTTGGCAATTTCCCCGTAGCCCTTTCCAGCCTTGTGGAGGTGTACAATTTTGTCTCTAGTGTCTTTGGACAGCTCTTTGGTCTTGGCCATGTTAGTAGTTGGATTCTTACTGATTGTATGGGGTGGACAGGTGTCTTTATGCAGTTAACGACCTCAAACAGGTGCATCTAATTTAGGATAATAAATGGAGTGGAGGTGGACATTTTGAAGGCAGACTAACAGGTCTTTGAGAGTCAGAATTCTAGCTGATAGACAGGTGTTCAAATACTTATTTGCAGCTGTATCATACAAATAAATAGTTAAAAAATCATACATTGTGATTTCTGGATTATTTTTTTTTTAGATTATGTCTCTCACCGTGGACATGCACCTACGATGACAATTTCAGACCCCTCCATGATTTCTAAGTGGGAGAACTTGCAAAATAGCAGGGTGTTCAAATACTTATTTTCCTCACTGTATGTATGTATGTATGTATGTATGAACCGGGCCCGCAGGTCATTTGTGCCTACTGTTATTGGATTTCTTAACAAACAAGGAGATAATAAAACAGAGCTGAATCTCCAGGTGTCGGGGAGCTGCAGCTTAGTATAACTTGTATAGCACTCAGGAGATGTTTGTGTTGGTAAAGCAGTTGTCTGGTTGTTGGTCTGATGCTTAGTGTATGACACACTATGAATTTTCCGAAAGGACTAATAAATATCTATCTATCTATCTATCTATCTATCTGTCTATCTATCTACCAGGGATTATGGATTTTGTACTTCTACTGCAAATACCTAATAGACACAGTGGATATGTGGCCTTCACACACAGACTACACCAGTACTATTGATTCCTAATAGCCATATTGGCAGACAAACACTTTGCTGAGCTGTCTGAGGGTCAACGCATAGCTCTTGACCTTCAACCTCTCTTTAGACACGTTCAATAATGTGCCATAAAACTCCAGTAGGTTCTTCAAAGATTAGCACCAACTGGCTCTAATGGCAACTTTTACAGACCAGAGACTGTCCTGACCACTGACACTCACCGGTGACCAGACTTCATAGTTTATTAACAAGGAAATCCTGTGATACCTCACTTAAAAATTGCTGCTCCACATGCAGTAATGAGGAGCACTGTAATATACTGTTGGATAAATAGGAAAGAAAAGAGCATTGTCCCTGGTAACAACGTTAGCTCTACATGAGCCTTAATTGGTGGTTTACAGTCTTGAGCCTCTACAGTATGTTGAGGAAATGGAGATAATTGTGCTGAGTGACTCCAAGGTTTGCTGTCAACCATTTAAAGGCCATTAAGCACTGAAGGCCATTAGAAGAGTGGGAAAATGTCTGTGTAGAGTTTTTTTTGCCCTGTTTATGTCTGCATGTGCTTGTAAAATAATAAGTCAATTAACTGATTAGTCACCTGACAGAAAACTAACTGATGACAATATTGATAATTGTGTATGGAATTTCTCAAATAAAAATATAGCATAATACCATAACATTTGCTGGTACGTAACACAGCTTCTTAAATGTTACAATTTGAAATAAAATACCTTTCAGAATCGGGCTGTTTTTCAAACTGTTGTTCTGACAAAATCAGTGTTTTGTTAATACTTATATAACATTCTTTTGTTTTATTAAGCAGTTAAACGTATAGTCTATAAAATGTCAGTAAATAGTGAAAAACTAAATTTGTCTTTCTAAATAACTTATATAGTAGTAGTTAGTAGTTTTCAAAATTTGTTGATTATGTTTCTTTTGATCAACTGTTTCAACTCTAAAACATGAATAATAAAATATTTGTTGACCACATTTTGGTTGTTTTTGACATTTCTTAGAGGGATCAATGATACACTTATTTAAAAGAAATGTGATCTATAACGAAAACAAACAAAGTAGCAGTAAAGGCTGCTACTCTTTGTTGTTGTGTATAACACTGTTAGTGTGTAGATATGTGTGTGTGTGTGTGTGAGAGAGAGAGAATGCATGCATGACTGTGTGCATACTGGACATGACAATATGTGTTTCTGAAATTTACATATGATGCAAGCTAACCGATACACATAAGCATTTTGGAGCCTGTAGTTTTTGGTGCTTTTGAATCGTGTGACCATAATGTTTAACCAGCACCTGTCTAAGACAATTTAAACAAAACGGAACATGAGGTATAATTTATTGCAGAGCTGTTGTGTAAGACTTAATTACTTTGCCGGATCAGGCAGAAGCAGAGAGTTTGGTATTTGATCTGTTGGGAGAAGTCAGTGTAACAGCTGTAGCTTGTTAATGATGGTTGACTTACATGTTACCGAGACTGTGTCAAAGGGGTGTTAATTTAATTGTGTATATATACAGTATACTGTATATGGTTTGTGCGTGTGTGTGTGGGTTGGACGAGGTTAATCAAGCAGGTTTGACTAGACAATGACCCTTTAAGTGAAATCAACAGGTTCATTAGTTAGATTTATCACCACCGTAATTACAATGGTTACTATCCTCAGAGCTATTGGCTTTTTGCTTAAAGATTCCTGCGTGTGTGTGTTTGTGTATATGTGTGTGTGGTGGGGTTGCGTGTCAGTGGTAACTGTTGTGCTGGTATAAGGTTCTTTCACGGTTTAGTCAGTATCCATCTAGTGCTGTCAGTGTCAGTGAAATCACATATCTCTAAACCACAGCCCTCCAACTCCCTCTCTCCTTACCCTGTCTTGTTTGTCCAACCTGCTCTACTTATCTGTCACACACTCAAGTGCGTGCGTGCGTGCGTGCTCTCTCTCTCTCTCTCTCTCTCTCTTTTTCTCTCTCTCTGTGTTGTGGTGTCCATTATTTGTACATGCTGAATAAAATATGTATCAGTGGTATAGTAAAATCACTGTGACCTTGTTTAGCCTGCTTCTCTCATTTGTTTTTGTTCATTTGTTTATGGCTGACTGCGTGAGCTTGTTTGTAATGGTTTGTGTTTTCTTCAGTAGATCTGTGTCAGTGTGTGAGTGGGTTGTGCCACTCACTGGAGCTTATGTTATGCGATGTGAATGTGTGTAACCCAGAGGCTTTCTGACCTGCTGCTGGAGCAAGGACGCACCAAACGCACACAGCCTCAACACTGATCCACATGTGTCAAGGACAGTCAGAGGACACTCAACACATATTGGTTTTGATAGTGAGTGGCAGAGATCAGTGTGTGTGTGTGTGTGTGTGTGTGTGTGTGTGTGTGTGTGTGTCTACGTGTGAATGTGTCTCCTGTACTTACCCAAAGCGCCCTGTCTGTCTTCACATACAGCAGGTGTTAACATATGGATGTTTGTTTTGTTGTAGTATTGCGTCTTCTGAAGGAGGGAGCAGACCCCAACACTCCCATTTCTTCTGGAGGATCCTTGCTACACCTGGTAAGATGCGCACGCACGCAAGCATGCACATACATAGGTATTTGACAATTATGAGGAACATTATACTGGCATACATTCATTCCCTTGAGCTAACCCCAACTTGAACCATAGCTGTCTTCCAGTCTTCACCTAAATCTGCCTAAAATTGTACTTAAGGATATTTAGTATTGACATGTTGGTGAAAGACGTTTCGTAAATAAGAATTATTTTAATTTTTAGTAAAAGTATAAGGTCTTGCAAAGTGGAAATTCTCAAATGGAAATTCTCGTCACATTGTGAGTACATGCTTATCAGTCTCTTGCAGTTTGTGTTCACTCAGCTACACTGCATCTTGGTTAGTTAAGGAGATCGTTTTAACCGCCTCCCATTAGGATTTGGTAATATTGATAAAATCTTTTACAAGTTATATGTATTTGTTATTGTGATATGAATAAATATTGTGATATAGTAAATGAATCATACTAATACCTAGTAAATCGAGATATTTTAGTCACATTGATTCAAAATTCATATTAAACATTTTTCATATTACACACATTACAAATTATCATCCCCTGGTGGATCATATTGGCAACCCTGCCTTTTCTATTGTTCTTTTGAATAAGGGCCTATACAATCTGTATATATGTTTTCAATCCTCCACTACTGTTGTATTTTATCAACAGTCTATGTATGAATGTGTCCACGCACATGTATGGGGGATTTACATTTAGGTTTTTCATTTTTAATAATTTTTAAGCTGGTCCACCTGGCCAATGAAACTCCTATCTAGACTCTGGTACCTACACTACCCCTCTACATTCTGGGCTGTGCCTTCTGAATGGTTCTGTCTTCGATTGATTAGAACAGGAAAATGTTGTAAAACTCTTTATTGAACATCTTAAAAAACAACAACAAAAAAGCAAAATAAAAACAATCTACAAAAAAAGATCATCAGCAGATGATCCAAATAACAGTCATGTTCAAAGGGGGAAGGAAGAAGCTGGAATAACTTTTCTTGTCCTACCCCCCACTTCAATGATATATTTTAGCTACTTAAATTGTTTGTATCACTTAAAAGTCCATAATCTGTTGGGTTGACTATAACAAAGATAATGAATTGTTTTTTTATTTAAATAAATATAGATATTCAAACTAAATAAAAATCAACAAAAAAGTTCAAAAATCACTGTTCCAGCTCATATCCATCAAGGATTCTTTTTTTAAATAGAAACTTCAGTTGCAATAAGTTTTTATATAACTTTAAATCGTTATTACTGTTTACAGCACCCTGGATTGTTATACGGTGGAACTTACTATTTGTTCGAATCAAAGGTTTACTAAACATTGATATTCCTCTGAAATTGTACATGTTTTCACGTAGTTGAAAAAGCTCTTGGATATTTCTAGGCAATTGGTTATTATGTGCTCTAAAAACAATTTGAATAGTTTTGTAGTCAATCAAATCTTTAAATTTAAATATTTTGAGTTTAATGAACTACGGGTTTGTTGGTTCCCTGTATGTAGTTCTATATATGATTCGTATAGCTCTTTTTTGTTGCATGAAGATTGGGTATGTATTTGTAAGTGTTCCCCCATACTTCCACACAATAAGTCATGTACGGGAGTATGAAGGAGCAGCACGGCATATATAGAGAAGCCTGATTCAATAGGTCTTTGGGTTTATTTAATATTGCTAATGACTTGGATATTTTGGTTTTAATATACTTTATGTGAGGTTTCCAGCTTAATTTGCTATCAGTAACTACCCCGAGGAATTTTATTTCAGATACTCGTTCTAGTTCTATACTATTTATCATTAGTATCTTATCTGTGTCGGTTAATCATTTCCCAAATATTATAAATTTTGTTCTACTCAAATTCAGGTTTAGTTTATTTTCATCAAACCAAATCTTCATCTTACTCACTTCCTTTTCTATGGTATCCATTAGCTTCTCCCAAGTTTTCCCCACAGCATAGTAGGTTTGTGTCATCAGCAAAAAGAATGATTTCCAAAATTTGTTATTATTTATATAGAGGTTAAATAATAATGGCCCCAACACTGAACCCTGTGGCACCCCGCATGTAACCTGCAGCAGTTGTGATTTATTGTTTTGTACTTCAACATACTGCTTTCTGTTCTCCAGGTAACATAACCATGTCAGTGCAATTCCTCTAATACCATATCTTTGTAGTTTTTAATCAATAATTTGTGATCTACAGTGTCAAAAGCTTTTTTGAGATCTAAAAATATTCCTACTGCATATTGTTTCCTGGGTATTGCGTTTGTAACTTTTTCTTTAAATTCTGTCATTGCAAAATAAGTTGATCTCTCAGCACTGAAACCATATTGTTGTTCATATAGAATATTATGTTTGGCGATGAAATCATCCAGCCTTATAAAGAACATTTTTTCCAGTATTTTGGAGAACTGTGGAAGCCATGAGATGGGTCTGTAGTTGTGTAGTATATGTTTGTCTCCAGTTTTATATATTGGTATTACTTTAGCTATATTCATTTTATCTGGAAAGACACCAGTTTGTAGGGACTGATTGCAAATATGGGTTAGAGGTCTTGCTATGGATTCAGTAATGTTTTTGACTGTGCACATATCAATATCATGTCGGTATACTTCTTACTCTTCATTTTTTTTACAATATTGATAAGTTCTTTTTCATTGGTCCCTCTGATAAATATTGTTTCTTCAACAAATAAATTCTTACATTCTACTCCATCACTACTACCCGTCTTTGCAATATCCCTTGCCAGTCCCGGAACAACATTGACAAAGTATTTATTGAATTCCCCAGCAACTGAAGCCCTGTCAGTGATTTCTGTATCATTTAATGCCTGCAATTAATTAGGATATTCTTCTGTTCCATTTTTTTAATGATAGCATTTGAGACGTCCCATGTTCTTTTTATATTATTTTAATTGTTTCCAATAAATTGCTGTAATAATCAACTTTACTGCATTTTATGATTTTTGATGACTTTTATATAATTTATATTTTTGTTCTGCTTCTATTGTGATAAGTGATCGCTTTTGTCAGGCCACTTGCAACCCGTCTGTCAATAATGTTTGTAAATATGTTGTCAATTAGTGTGGCACTGTGTGTTGTTATTCTAGTTGGTCGTGTGATTGTAGGGTATAAGCTGTTGCTATACATTGAATTGATAAATTCTGCGGTTGAATTATGTTGTTGTGGGTTTAACAAATCTATATTGAAATCACCACCGACAAACAGAATTTTCTTGTTGTTATGCCTGTTATATAGCTCCTCAATCTTTTCCCTAAATGTATCAATACAGGATCCTGGTTTTCTGTATATACAGCTTATCCGAATATTTCTTTTTTTCTTTCTTTCTTTCTCTCAATTTCTTCTGTGAAACACTCCATAATGTTATCCATTGCAAATGACTGACAACTTTACATTTATACATTTTATCAATAAATAGTGCAGCCCCCCCTCCCTTGGATTGGGTCCTATTAATATAGAACATTTCGTATCTCTCAATTCCAGTCATGTCAATTTGCTCTTCATCAAGCCAGGTTTCTGATATTGCAATTGCTGTGAATTTCTTTTCTAATTCTTTTAAACAATGCTCAATTTCTGCTAGATTTGAATTAAGGCTCCTACTATTAAAATGTATAATTGTTATTGATCCATCTGTTATTACACTCTTCTGTGTAACATTCGCATTGACTTTGCATGTCCTTGTAAAAGTTATTTTAGGGATCGATTTCATTTTCAATGTCTAAGAATTTAAGAAAGTAATCCTGGTGTTTATGTTTGTCAAACCAAAATAAAGAATACTATTATTTGGCTCTGAGCATTATGCTTCAGTGTTGTCATGTGACATGATTTTGCCATTGTCCATGCCTTTATCATTATCATTTTGCAAATTCTTGCACATGTTCCCCCTGTGGTAATACAAGAATGTAATTATTACAATTGCTGTACAATACATTTTTCACATACATTAATCATTATGCACTGAACCATTCACGTGTACTCTTTATAGTTAGCAATGCTTCAGGCAGTATGCATTTCTGCAAACTAATAAGGAAATATACTGTGATTGCATTCTGCAGTGTGCTCGCCATGACAATGTGTTTGCGGCGGAACTTCTGATTGAGCGAGGATTGAATGTCAACCTGCAGGACGAAGACCTGTGGACAGCCCTGCATGTAGCATGTGTATGTGACCATGCAGATGTGGTGCTGCTGCTGCTGCTGGTAAGAAACACGCATGCAAACATCATGTAGGATATTGATGGGACACACATACAGACATGAGTGGACCCACATTTTGGTTGTAGTTCTAGTAATGCTCTTACTGATCCTTGCAATTCCAAGTGTGTCAGCTACAAATTAGATTAGTGTTTTGGAATAGGTCAGAATACTAGCTCCATGTTTTGAATTAGCTTTGAACCAGTGGCGGTATTCACATTAGTCATCCAGAATTTTCTGCCCAAGTAGAGCATCTTCTATTGATGAGGGGTTTTGGATTACAGAGGCTCTGAAACACGACTTTCCATTCTCTCACAAACCCAGCTGAATCACTCAAAAAGTGAATATTTAGAAATTGGGTATTAGCATGATATCAAAGAGAGAGCTTGTTCTGGGGGGGATGCTACCAGCTCTTGTCAGGTCTGTCTTGACAAGAGCTGTGGTTGTACTGATTAGGTCCATAATGAGAGCTGGGCCAGCTGCAGGGGAGGGCATGCACATCCAGCCCAGTCACTCAGTTGGCTGGGTCTGTTGTGCTGGTGTTGATTAGACCCGGGGAGGGTTAACTGCAGTCTGGAGCTCCGAAGAAACCAGTACTGCATGGTTCTGCTGATTGGGTCCTGAGTGATTGCAGATTCTCTCTGTTTGCTGGGCAGGAAAGAGATGTTCCTGAGAGGAATGGATATGTTTGAAGAGCTGCCAGGCAAAGGGAGTGCAGAGTAGATCTGTCGGCCTGTAGTGACTGTGTGACTGTTGGTTCATGTATATGGTGAGTGTTTGTGTATTTGCATGGGTTTAATTTCCTTCGAAGCAAAGATTCATGCAGGCCGCCTAGTTTGTAGAGCAGGGTGTGATATACGTAGATACGCCAAATGCAACGAGTTATGCTGTCACGATAGGCATAACATGAGCGAGAGAGAGAGAGATTTAATACTGCTCCCTGGGAGGTAGTAACTAAATGTCTCCCTTTCACTACCAAGACAGAACTAGTTGCTAGAAAATAAGGTCATAAATATACACAGAACTCAGCCTGGTGGGAAGAGAGCAGGGGGTTAAGAAAGAAAGAGGAATAACATTTCTAAGAAATTAAATGAATCCGATCCAGCTCTGTGGAAAGTTCAAATATTTTTCCAGCAACACCAAAGCATTTTTTTTCAGCTTTCACAGCTTGAATGTCCTTTGATACTAAGTACTTATTTATTTGACTGCGTATACTTCTACTTGTGTGTGTGTGTGTGTGCCCTTGTGTATTCTTGCGTGACTGTGACAGTATAAGGTTGTGAGGAGTCTAACCAAGTAAGATCCAAGACTTGAAACATCTTAATTTCCAGAATGGTGCACATTTGAGTGTGTTTTTCCCTTTAGAGTAAGATAAACGCTGTGTATACTAAGTGTATTTTCCTGGTATAATAAGTGGGGAAGATGTTTGAAAGGGGAGCCCAAGGCTCTTCCTATCTACGAGTGTAAAAGTAGCTTAAGTCAAGTGATATTTCCAATGCAGCATCCCTTCCATTCATTAGATTCTATTCATTAATTTTGACACCCTTCTCCTCCACTACAGACCCTGCCAGAGGCCAGTCATTCTGCTCTATTCTCAAGCTGCTGCCATAACAGAGTTGTGAGTGGGAGATTTTCCCCTACGAATATAAAGGGTTTACATTTTAATGAGAAGTGGAACAGTGGTTTTGCTGGAGGAGTTTGACTGGCAGCTTTATCTTTGATTGGCACAGGAAGGAATAGTGCTGCTAATATGTAATAATCTATTGTGTCGTACTTCTCCATCTCTCACTCCCGTTTCCCCTCCCCTTGTCCTCTGCTTCTCTATCCTTGATTTCCTCCTCCAGTTGCCACAAAGAGAGGTGGAGAGTTTTTTGCTGACAGGGATGTTACCAAGCTTGTCATGTGGGCAAAGTCGGGGGGTTGATGTGATGTCTGGGTGCATTGTCGCTCTGTGTCCGGAGTGGCAGTAATGTTAATTCTCTTATCTCCTCCCTCCAAACAGCAGAATAAGGAATAAGCCATTTCTAAACTGTCTCATTCCCAACCCATTTCCAAATGCATTCCTAAACCTATTCTGAGCTCCAGCTCTGGTTAATGTTTGTCATTGAGACCCTGGCAGGATAATGCCCTAACTGGCAGTAGGGTTGGTTATCGTTTCAATTTTATCGAATCTGATTCCTATTCTACTCATTGTATCTGGTTCTTATCACATCTCGGTTCTGATTCCAATCCCTTCACCACAAATCTTGTCACCGGTCAGTGACATTTATCCACTTTCTCCTTGCTCATCTTCCATTTCATGGCTAAAGTGTAAGGATTTTCTGTAGTCTATGTAGACTCGTATCTAAGAAAAATATATTTAATAATTTCATTCATTCAAAATCTTTCGTTTATCTTCAATATAAGAGGTGAAAGTCAGATCATCTGTGTTTTGTATCAGAGCGTGAGATGTTAGTACTATTAGCATTGGCTGTATCTAGGGTGTCAGTGTAGCTGGGAGACCACAACTCACTGAACACGGTGCATTTCTTAATATTCACGTCATGTTCAAGTAAATGCTTCATCATATTGGAAGTGCTTGTTCCCTTGAATAAAATTGCATTTTGCTGTGGCATTTTGCTGCAGGAATGTAAACAGAAGCTCTTCTTGCATGCTTTGTTGACGTACTGCATAACAAATGACCTGACTTTAGGACAGCGTATCAGGTCTTGGCAGATAAGTGCAACTTTTATGGACTGTAAAATGCTCACAGCAATCGGGAGTGCGACAGAAATATGCAAAAACCTTGGAAGCGATAAGCAGAATCGAAATGCATGTGTCTTTGAAATTTGGGTTCTGTTCCAACTTGGAACCGGTTCTTAATACCCAACTCTAACTGACAGCTCAGAGGCACTGACAGGATCTATAGTCTTTATAAATAATTCCCCAAAAATATTACATTGTTAGTGTAATATTCAGTGGTGTCAACAGTACTTGAAGTGGAAAAAATAAGTGCCACAGAGTACTCTCTCACAGAGTCACACTGAATTAGACTTGGCTCTTATACATGCATCTGGATGCCTCCACAGAGGTTCTTGATCTCCATGTGTTACATCTTAGCTGGCCTTCTATTCAAAACCACAGCCCACAAGATACTTAAAAAATCTTACTTTATCTAGTGGCGCAATTATGTCTTCCTAATTCTGAACGGTCACTGAAAAGATGTGGAAAGTGATTACAGTTAATTGCAGACTTGCCCTAATTCTGCTCGTGTCTCCCTGAGGGAAAGCTTCTACCTTTTCACAGATTGTAGAAAATATGGACTCTTGAAGAACATAAAAAAAAGTTTGGCTGTCTTAAACAGTGCATATGAAGTCATCTAGAACAAAGGGTCTTCTTTTCATTCTGAGAGATGCTAGTTTTCAGAGTCTAAAGGGGAAGTTGTAGCAATGCAATCATGTGATCCACGAGAGATGGGTTCTGTTCCAAAATATTATTTCTCATCTTATAGCGCAAAACCCAGTGGGGTTACAGTTGTAGGATTGACCCACTTTCCGTGCTTGTAAATGATGAATTTAAAACGTCTAAACTCTGAGTCCTTTGAAGTCAAACGATGAACAGCCCCTGGCTGCACTGAACTCCACTTCACACCAGTTGAATTTGTTGAGTGGTTTTCTGCTGATAATGTTGACCTACCTCCTTCTAAACATAATAGTGGTTCATCAAGCAGTTGTCGCACGTTCCTATATTATATGAGCTGCTTTAATTAAAGTCCTAAACCTTCAAAGGCTAAACATTTATAATTAGAATATTTTCATATTTTCGTTCAAATGCTTTTTGAGTTTCACTGTTGATTTTGATGCATATATGAATAAATTATTTATGTTCTTGGGATTAATTGTCCTCAGTTTTAAGGTGGTTAAAAAAATTTTATGTTGTCACATGTCAGTGTCTGCATCTTGGTTAATGTGCAACACCGGACTCAACACTGCAGCATGGCAGAGCTGTGCAAATGTTGTTTACATTCAGTTGAGAACAATTGGTCCGATATAAAATGCTACTTCTTGTGCATTTCTTTTCTCACAACTCTTGATAATAAGATTTAAGGAGTTTCTGAACACTAGATTACATTTTTGGGGAAAACCCAAAAGATTAAGAATCTATATAGTAGAAAGTACAGTGTGAGTACGTTAGTATTAGAGACACATGCGGTTTTAGACAGAGTTAAATAATCAGATCATAATCAATAGATTTTTTTAAAACACGTATGGGATCTTTGGATGATTTCCACTGGACTGTGACAGTGTCCAACTCAACAATGACTGCCCCAGGGACACCTTTCAGCACACATCCACTAGTTGTTATTGATTCTGTGGCAGTCACTGAATGTAACTATTGCCATCATGAACCACAGGCAGCGTAGTGTTAACACATTTCCATTGAGACGTCTGAGGTGGATTCATCATATTGTGGCAGGGAGTGTGTCGGGGTCAGAAGTCAACTTGTTAACCCCTTGCAGCCTGCGTGGCTGCCTGCCAGCATCAACTCATTTATATCTGTCAGCCCTTATCACGTGAGCTCAGACACATGACTAATGTCTCTGGATCAATGGCCAACACATCACGCTTCCTTCAACATAATCTGTTGTCTGTTGTTCTTGGAGCTTTGTGTGCCAACTATAGAATTCAAATTATTTCTGTACCAACAGTTTTTTATTGTGAAATTGTATAAAACTAAGCTCAGGAGGGCAAGTATAGCATTTTACTATACTTTAGTACATAGTTCACACTGCACATGTTTACTGTCTTGTGAGCGTTGTAAAGGAACAATTTCTCTCTAGGATAATAACATCTATCTCACACTTTCACTCTGTTGCTGGATTACGTCCTGGTGTAAACTGCTAAATTTGATTTATACTTCACATTTTTACAGAAAATCTAAAAGTGCCACATACATTTCAAGGTTTTTCCAAGTGTTTTTTGTACATGAGCCATACTTGAAGTAAATTGTCTGGGTTAGCACGACCCTTTACTACCCACTATGCAGTACACACACACGGACACACAATAACACACTCGCATGTTAACAGAGGCACCCTGAGCGGAGTTATCAGGTTTATGAGGAAGTTGATTGGGCACAAATCTAAGGAATATAGATGGAGCAGTCCAAATTTGACATTAGAAGGTAAGAGAGGGATAGGGGATGGAGAGTGTGTGTGTGTTGTGGGGGTAGTGGTGGGTGGAGTGTGCATAATATTATACTCTCTCTGACTCACTCATCATCTCATCTCTTGCTCTTCAAGCTGTGCTTCACGTTGTGATAAGGTTTCTTGTTTTCTCATGAATAGTCACGACGCAGCAGCTGATCTTTGTTATTGTTAATTAATTCCCTCTGTTAACCCCTAACTAACCTTCATAAGTGAGCAAAAATGGCTCGCACAAGGCACCGCAGATGGATGCACAATGAAACCGCAAAGCTCACCAGAACAGATTCTCTGATAATTAGAATTGACAGCATTGTGCTGCCTTTATCGTGCTGTAATTGCTTGGCATGTCTTGGACTAATAAATGTTTCTTCTGAATAGCTGCAAAACAATTTTCATAGTTGAATAAAAAACTAGTGTCTGTTTTTTAAATCAGTTCAGAAATGCAAAGTTGCATTGAGAATTTTAGCCTCAGTGTCTCCCTGGTTTGCGGGTTTCAGAGCACTAAGGTCAACAGCTCTTGTGTTGCTCTGTCAGCTGGCTCCCTCCTCGCATTTTCAGCCCTCTTCTTCCCTTTCGCCGCTTTCCCCGCCCCACCCCCGCCCCACCCCTTCCCTCTCTGTCTGCCTAAGGACTAGGTCATAAATCTCTTTGCCGTGCTGCAACTTGGTCGTTAGAATTCTATTAGCTGTAAATATTCAATAAGGATCCTCACTTAGAGTTCCCTGTCCCTGTTATCAGACCTGGTCCAGCTACGATCATTATGCTGGCTTGTCTTTTTATGGTTTAGTCAAACAACAGGAAGCGATTTATGGCTGGATGCTGACAATTGCCACTTGAAAGGATGTACGTTACTTTTAGTACCTAACCCCAAATAGGCAATGATAAAAATGAAAAGGACAGAAGGAAAGTCTACATGAGTACATTTTGCATGGCTTGTACACATTTCTGCTCTACTGGTAAAGCAGTGCAACATTTTTACAAATAATGAGTGCAACAGGAGTCCTCCAAAGAGAAGCAATCAATCATAATCGTATTGTGACCAATGACTGTGCTGTCGTCGGTGTAACAGTCATTTAAGGAGCCAGAGGGAAGGTCTCCCATGTTATCTCATGCTATAACAGTAGACTGTCCTGGCAGGGTCCTTGTTCAGTAAACACAGATTAATCATCACACGCACACACCACCCAGTTATCCCAGGTTACGGTAAACAACGCCTTCACTTGCTCTTAACTGCCCCACCCCCCAGGCGGTTATTTAATGAGTTCTTTAATTCACTGTATTGTCTGTTAAAGTCTATATGGTTCTGCTCAGGCATACTCCTCTGGGAAGCCAAGATAATCGGGCCCACTTTATCATCGATTCAGTCTGATGAATGGGCCCTGCTAAAACTAACTTTGTTTGTGTCTTCTCTGCTTCCTTCTGCCCTGCGTCGGGAAGGCTGGGGTGAATGTTCTGCTGCAGGACGTCAACGGAAACATCCCTTTAGACTACGCCTCTGAGGGAACTGAGACCAGCTACATCCTACGAAAACACCTGGAGGAAAATGGTAATGCTCTGCGCACCTCTCGCTTGTTTTGCACTGCACAGTGGAAGAAAGACAGAGATAAAACTTTACATATTTCCTTTATCGTGAGCTCTTTTAACCGTGTGATTCAGTGAAATGCAGTGGCTCATTTACATGTTATCGCAGCCCTTTGATAAAAAGCTAAATTACAATGTAGGATCCAGAGTGAGGAAAAGTAAATAATTCATTTCTTTCATTTAGGAAGTATTGGGATCATGTGAATGGTTAATATGTCATACCCATCGTTAAAGATAAAGTGTTCTGTGAAGGTGACACCCACAGGCCTAATGATGGTGGATTGCGATCGGGGCACTTTTCTCCCACAGAGAAAGGATATGGTTAACATTGAAGCTGCAAATAACAGAGATAAAGGCACAGGAGAGTTTGAGGCACACAGAGACAAAAGTAGTAAAGGTACAGACAGAGAGGCAGGAAAAAGTACCAGAAATACAGAGACATGCAGAGAAAGGGGAACAGGAATCATGCTGACAAAGCTAGACGGAAATGGATATAGACAATGATGGAGGGTCTTCCCTCATCCATCTGTCATTAGCCACAGGGTCACATGACAAATGCAAGCATCTGACTGCAGACAGCTAACTCATCAAAGCTCAGACCACCCTACACACGCACACACGCACACACACACACACACACACACACACCTCCTCTGCCACTGAATTTTTTGAGACTTTCTCTGCTTATGTCTGTCAGCCCCTGTGATGATCTCTCCCCTCCTGTCTACTTTCAGCTATCCCCATACACCCCCACCCCACGCTGGGCTTTGCCACCATGAAACACACTCTTACTCACAGAGGCTAACTCTGGTTCTGTTGCTATGGCAACTTGGCAGCATGCTCTCTATCCCCATCAAGTTTGTGTGGTTGTGGGAAAAAGAAAGACTGTCCATGTGTCTCTACATCAGGGAGACATAAAAAAAAATCTTTTATTTGCAATTTTTTCAGCTGACACCCTTGTGTTTCACACAAGACTGGATTCCTTCGAGTATTAGCACTTTAGAGACGACAAATTCTGTTCTGTTAACGGTTATGTTCCGCAAGTCTCAAAAAGCTACACACCCTGTGGCTCTCACTTGTTTGCAAAGACAAACTTATTGATTAGCTAATCCAACTCGTCTACTTGGAAAAGTCCCATTAGTTAGTGCCCTAGAGCTTATCTGTATCAGATATAGATTGATTGATAATCAATCCACCCTATTACAACAACCAAAGTCAGGTACACTGTGTGTAAATGATTATGGAGCAGTGCATTGATGTTCATAGTTTGGGTAAGACGCCCTTGTACACCTCTGTTTGTCTGTGTCTGCCCAGGAGACAAGCTATCATGGCATTGAATTGTTTTTGGCCGTGACTTGATCTGCCAGGCTTTGATAGGGTTTCCTGTAGAGAAATTTAGTTCTGCAAAAATGTAAAGTTTAAATGCAAGGAATGCAGGAATGCTTAATTTTTTGTAGGACAGTTTTCTTTCAGTTGGACAGAGCCGGGCAAACTGTTTCATCTGTTTCTAATCTTTATGCTAAACTAAGATAATCATCTCCTGACTCCAGCTTCATTTTTTACACACAGATATTAGAATGGTATCAACATTTTCATCTAAATTGTGCCAAGAAAGTGAATAAGACTGTTTCCTGAAATGCCAAACTGTTCCTTCAAGCATTACAACTAAAGGCATACTGTATACCAAGTGTGTCTCAATGGTTTTTGTGTATTTTAGGTGTGGATGTGTCATCCATGCACACCATGAAGACACAGAGACCCAGCACAATGCTGTCTGATGTTAGACAGCTTGTAACCACAGGCGGAAGCCTCAACCAGACTAATGATGACGGGGTCACTCTGGTAAGTAAGGTCACATGTGTGTGTTAGTGTGCATGAGTTGACCTGTCTTTGTCTCTTTCTTTTCCTGTCCATGGTTTGTTCTCTATTTTCAATTCAGTTTTTACCAGATTCTGTAGCTTCTCTATTTTGCTATTTATCTTTGGTTCTCTCTCTCTCTTTCTCTGAAGCTCCACATAGCATGTGCCAGTGGTTATAGAGAGGTGGTGTCTGTGTTGTTGGAGAGTGGGGTGGACCCTCATCCTGCTGATAACAACTTTTGGACCCCTCTCCACCTGGCTGCTAAATATGGACAGGTAACTCACTGATCAACAAAATGTGAGAATGTTTTTGACTTTAATGAAGTAGTCCCCTAATTTCAATTTATCTAGCAGCATTGATCCAATGTAAATACAGTCATTAAGGAGATGATGAGGAAATTAGTGATGGACAGATTGCTCCTCTGAGGAAGTTGCCTTCAGTTACCCTGCACACACTCTGATAAACTGCTCTTTTTGGGCCTATTGATCAGAAACAGTCAAACTGCTGGCACAGAGCAGCACTGCATATTACAGCATTTTAGATTAGCAATTTAGTGGTCTCTCTTAGAGGGAAAGAGATTGATTTCCAGATGGGGCGGAGGTGAGCTGTTGGAGCGATGGGATCTGGTGGTTTGGGAGGGATCCAACTATGAAGGAAGGGAAGTGATCATGTTCAGATCTTGCTGACCCAACTAGATATTTAATTACATGTCTTGGCTATGTGCTTGGCTACGTGCTTGGCTGCTGACAAAGAGAATTTATACATTTGCTATTGTGAGTCACTCTCTACTTCTTTGGTTCATCCACCCTCAAGCCATGTTTTTTTTCCCCCACTAGAGTGGGTTTTAAAAATGATTTCTTTCTTTGTGTTACCTTGTAGCTTTGCTCTGTTTCATTCACATCTGATCTACTGCCTTAGTTTTTCTTTCCACTTACACGATTCCTTCATCCAGTTGTTAGTTGAAAACATGTTAGTTAATCAGTAGATCTAAATATTCAAGTCTTCCAGGCTGCAGTTTTCTAAATGGAATAATAACCTCCTTGTGTCTTTCTGCATACACAATTACTCTGTATGTATGTGTGTGTAATATGTAAGTGCATCTGACTTAAGAGTGGCAGTCTAGAGGATTGGAGAATCGATTAGGTTTGCCTTGCAGCACTAAATCACCTCAGCCATTGGCTCTTTACTGGTGCCAGTGCTTTCCTCCTGCATACAAACTAATCCCTGAGCCTTCTTAACACTCACTTCCTGTCATCATTCCCTTATAGCTGGTCTGACAGTGAGACGTCAGTAATGCAGGACAGTATTAAAGAGGTGGTATTATGCTTTTTGGCTTTTCCCCTCTCCTTTATTGAGTTATATATCTTTTTTGTGCATGTACTAGGTTTGCAAAGTGAAAAAGCCCAAAGTCCAGCCCAAAGGGAGTTCCCATCTCCCACAGAAAACACTGCTCTGAACTGCATGAAAACAGCTCGTTTGTAGTCCAGCCTTTACATCTACTTTCTTGTGATGTCACAAGTAAATACGTGTCATAATGCTCACCGAGCGACTAGTCCGACACGCCCTCAAAAACACCGGTGGCAGTCAGTGGATTTAAAGTTGTTACTGTGATATAGAGACAGAGCTCAGTTAAAAATTTATGGATGAAAGACACTTTTGTTACAGATTAATAACTCACCACTCTGAAACTTCTGCTCCAGTCCATGTTGCCAAGCTGGTCGGCAACATGTAGCCTACAGCTGAATCAAAGCTGTTTACCGTCTTTTCGCTGACCCGCCTTTCTCTGCTTCTGATTGGCTTTTACCGGCCTTTCGCTGACCTGCCCTTCTCTGCTTCTGATTGGCTAGTAGGCCATAACTATGAACTGCGCGTGTGCAGCTCCCAACAAAGATCATTTAGTGACAAGATGTATCACTCCATAGCTAAAACGAAGCCTTCAACACCGGGTGAAAAGAGGAGCTGCAGCAATGTGCAATATGAAAAAAAATATGGTGTTTTTTGAAAATGAAACCATGTAAACCTGTTCTGGTACAACCTCTAAATAGGATTTTGGACCTGAAAATGAGCATTATACCACCTCTTTAAGACTTTTGCTGACCAAACTTGTTGCCTGGAAAACACTTGCTTGGAACTGTAATACTAGCTGGTACATTAAACCCAATGACCCCTTCTGCAGTGTGGCATACATACTAGACTGACCCTTTAAGAAGATGTATGAACCTATTACTGCAGCTAATTAAGCTTCCCTCTCTGGGTCTTGTGATAAGTTAGACTCTGGCTCTTTGCTGCCCTGGTTTAAGTCAAGGCTTTTCAAGTTGTGTTCTCTTGAGGGAAGAATTTTAAATAGTTTTGTGTTGGATTTTCAAACAAAAATGACAGGATGTTAAAATGCAGCCCTACAGGGATTAGATTAATTCATTAAATTTTATAATGAAGGTATACGTGAAAGCTGTGGCAATATTGCAGCCACCTGATTCATATGAAGTTAAATCTTCTGAAGTACTTTAAAGTTAATCTCAATGTTCATTTTCAGGTCTAACATATATTGTTAAAAGGACATTTTGGCAGTGGGCACATACCAAAAACTCTTCTGTCTGTCTGAATCTACAACAGCTATGAGGTCACTTTGTCTGCACTGATCCCCATGTACTGATGACCTTTTCCTGGTGCTCCTGTGAACTTTGACCCAAAGAAGAGTTCAGATCTTGTGGTGCCACTGACATGTTGTCTGTATTTATAGGGTGTGAGTGCAGCTGACAGGGTTTGTGGGCAGTAGAGATGCTGGAGACTCATAAACAGCTGTTGACTTGGGTCGGAGCCAGCCTGCTGAATGTGCTGAGTCTCTCTCTTCAGTACTGCAGACGTTGTCATTTTACTCTGCTAATGTACAGACAATGTACAATGTAAGACAAATTAAAATAAATGATCAAAATCAATGCAGCAGAGGCTGTGACATTCTGACTTTTACTTTTTAGTACGGATGATGAGCCTAAAACTCTGGATCCTACAGTTCCCATAATGCAACCAGCCCAGCCTGGTAAATCTCCAGGTCTTTCGAACTCCATGGCCCCCAGTTTGTCATCTAGGATTTATTTAAGAATTTCAAGTGTCTACACCCAAACAGTGTCACAGAAGACATTACACAACTGTTTTTAATGGCAGATTAGTACTCCCCATGACGAATAAAATCCTGATGTGTAAGGATTACCCCTTTATTATTTTAAGTGTAGGTTTGATTTTACTGAAGAATCAGGGAACCCTTTTTGTGAGAATCAGTAATGAGAAATATTTTAGTTTGTGGTTAGCTGTTAACTTAGCTCAAGCATAATGATATAGTTGCTTGCTGTTTAATGTACTGTATAACTGCAAAAACTACTGTTAACTGAAAAAAAGGAAATATGTGTGTCCTAACATTACAACTTAAGTGGAAATTTGCTAGACAGTCAAAAGCAAGTATTTTCCTTGGTAGTGGTTGACAGTATAAAGCTCAGTTTTTAAACAGTGCATGTTGCATTGCAGCAAAATGCAGTAGTTTGAAAACTGAACTGTAGGAGGAGATGTATTAGGTTTAATTTTTTCCAAGAATGTTTTCCTAGAATTTGCTCTGGTTGAGAAGGTTCTTGCGTTTAATTATCAACCATGCTCTTTTTCATTTTGAAATGATGCCTTTTATATTTATTGAGTTGATAGTTTCTGGGTCATGCCATCTTTCCCACATTACCAAGAAATTATGAAGAAGATCCTTGTCTATTATCAGTAATTTGAGTCACACACCAGCAAAATCAGCATTCACAGATCACATATTGTATCACACTTCTTGGATTTGTTACAGCTGATACTCCATAGAGGCAAAGATGGAGGGTTGGTGAAAGAGATAATTCAAAAAGACTAGAAGAAGAGGTGTAATGAGAGGGGAAAGAAGAACAAGTCCGAATTCAGGGACTTCGCCTGTGTGAGCTAAATTTAAAAGAAAAGCTGAGACAGAACAATAAAAGACAGAGGTGACAGACATCACATGTCACTGTGTGTAGAAATGAGGGTAAAAAGGAAATTAGGGTAAACAAGAATGGGGTTCTTCTACTGTGACATGTGATGGAAGATATTATTTAAGGATCTCCTCAGTTAGGGGTAACAATTGTTGAGGCCGTTAATGTGTGAAATATACTGTACCTATCCTCTACTCAGTGTTTGAATTCTGTCTTTGTCACAGTATATACTACATGTACATATCTGCGCTGCAGCAATGAAAGTGGGAATAACAACATTTTTTGTTCTTGTACTGATCTTTTGAAAGTTAATAGTGCTTTTCTAGGATCTAATGAAAATGGATGTGGGTGTTTCTCCAATTTCTTGCAGACAAGCATCGTTAGCCAGCTCCTGAGACACGGAGCAAACCCAACTCTGTTGAACTGCAACCAAGATAAGCCCTCAGGTAACACATTTAGACATTCACACAAATATACACGTGTGCCCATACACACAAAAATACCGCTGATGGAACGGCCCAACATCTTAGCAAGCAAGAGGTAATGAAGCAAAGAAGCGGAGGAATGGATTTTGAGTTATTCAGCTGAGCTTGTTCAAATGCATTAATAATCATTGTGATAAAATAAAACACAGGCTCATACACACAGACACACAGTGTACACAGTGAGTGAGGCTCTGTCATAATCAGTCTCTGGTGAGCCAATCTGAGTGTATCTGCAATAGAGAATTCATGCCCATGCACACATACACACATGCAATGATAAAATTTGGGCATTAGCAGTAATCATAAGGGGCTGGTTTAGTTAATTTATGAATTGGAATAAAGGTGTCATACCCTTATCTGAGGGCATGTGTAGGGCTGGGAGATATATTGGTATATATATTATACCGATATAATAAATATATATAATATAATTTGAAAAGAGATATGAAATTAGACAATACCGTTTATGTTGAGTTAATTTCCGTAAAGTCCTACCAGCGTTTGCTCCTCTCTCCCTCACCACGCAGCCCCGCCCCTCCCTGTGTGTCTGCACGCAGCTGTCTACTCACAAACTCTCAACAATATGGAGGGAGACACAGTGCTGGTAGACGCTGCTGAAGACCTGGCTTGTAAAAAGAAAAATACGGTTCATTCAGTGTTTCCCACAAATACACTTTACTTCGGCGGTCCGCCCAGGTTAGGCAACACATTCTAGCATTTACCAGAGAAACACAGGGATCACGTTACAAGTTGCGACACTGTGGATATTTTACAAGAGCGGACCAGGTAAAGCAACAGTGAACACACCAGTCAGATGTTAGTCTATTCGTTAGCTACCCCGTTGGTTTTGTTTTGATAGGCTACATTGTCAACAGGCCTCCTACACATGCAGCTTAGCAGCTGCTGTGAACGGAGTCGTGGGAGGAAAAGTCCAGAAGACAAGTTCTGGGTATTTTTTTCTGGTGGCTATATACAGCCTAGCCTACTACTGATGGAGAAAGTCAACTCATCAGTTGTTAAGCCAGGCCTGTACGGCAAATACCGCAATATAATGGTAAATTAAACTGGCATTTACCTTAAAGATTGGCCATGTCTGGATTGACATTGCTTGGTTTCATGCTATTCTGTTGATCAACAGTCAGACATTATAACACAACAAAATCAAGAAACAAAATCAAAAGAAAATTGACCTTCCAAATGTTTTATGAGAAAGGAAATGCATTTAGAGCTCCACAGGTTAACTTTACAAAAAGAACTAATCTCTTCTCAGCTTCTCAGTGGGTGTAATATTGTTAATTTACATATTTATATTAATCACACACACACAAACACACACATCAGGGGTAGAACTCCCCACATCTCAAAGATGAGCACATCTGTTATAAAACCACCCATTGCACCAGGCTGTTGATGAATGTAGTGTAGTCATTGTAAATGTAAGCTGTGTCTCTTGTGTAATAGTGATGAAATGTGTCATATAGACGGCCTTTTTTGCTCGTAACCTTTCCATTGTGAGATAAAATATCATAGCTGCCTCTAACCATTTAGCCCCATGGCTTCATCACACCTCTGAATACCTCCCTTTGGCTATAATCAATAGCCCCTTCTAGCATGTAGGCCTGGAAAAGATGTGAGGCACTCCCCCTGTTTTTCACATGGAGCCCCACACCCCTCCCTCAGCAGCCTCATGACGAAAGACAGCCCGAGCAAGAGATAGGAGTCTAGGGGGCTGTCAGTCACACAGAAATAAAAAGACAGGATGAAGCCATTCCCCTCCCTTGTGCCCTGTTAGACCTCATTACAGACAGAGCAAATCTTAACTCCCCCTTCCTCTAAAGCACAGTTGAATTGATCCACAGTGGGGTTTACATTCTGCACCAGTGCAGGCTCATCCACACAGATGTTGTGTGGATGAGCCTGGTGTTGTTGTTTTTTTTTTTAGAGCTTTTATTTTATTACCACACACTCAATGGATTTTGAAAATCAAATTTAAGCTTACAAATCTGTCATTTTGAATTTTTAAATCTACATCAAATTAAACTAGTCTCTTTGAATTTCAAATTTCACAACAAACAGCTACACCGATTAGCCTGTACTGTGTATCACGTCACCAGACATTGCTGTGTCAGAGCCCATAGCTGAGATGCTGCTAAACGCAGAGGAGAGCTGGCTGCAGAGACTGACGGACCCCTCAGCTCCTCTACCCCGCACTGACCAACGCTATGATGGCGGTTCTCACGATCTCAACACTCCTGTCAAGAACATGTGGGTTAACAATTTCATAAGCATAATTGTTAACTTATGGTTACTCCATAAAATTGTGAATCATGTTTTTCCCCTTATACTCTCATCCTCCATTTTGCCCAAAATGTGCATCTTTTCCAAATCCTGGCCTATCCACCTCTCACTCAGGAGCCCCCTGGGTCTCTCTATCTCTAAGCGAGACAGTTTGCTGGAGAAGTGTGCCATGTTCAGAGAGGCAGGTGGAGCACTGAGCCGACAGCCCTCCCAGGACAATGGCCTAGATGGCCCCTTTAGCTCTGGAAGCAGCAAACTGGAGCAGGTAACTTGTTTTCTTACAGCTCCCACACTACAAAAAACACAGTCAGACCGTGAGAACATAGATAACCCCAAAGGTCCAGGGGTGTTTACTCAAGATTGATATAGTCCATTTGTTACTTTGCCTTGTTTTTATAAACCATGAAGAGGCTTGCAACATACAAAAGAAGCTCTTATCTCTGTGAATTTCAAATAAAATGACCATACTGATTAGCCCATCCTGTGTGTCATGCCATCAGATAATTAAGCATTTTATGCAAGTGGAGAGTGGGCATCAGGCTCACTTGTTTTTATCACGCACTGCATGATGCCCTTGGAAAGGGTTTCCTTAGCATAAAGAGTTTTGTACAAGTCCATCAACTGACAGAGAGGCAGGGAATCTGACCAAATGAATCAAAACAAAATTGGAGTCATACAGTTTTGATTCAGCAGTGATGATTGAGAAGTAATCAAGTATGTACTTGTTAAAGCGGTATGTGCTGTACATCTCTCCAATAATGCACATTTGAGAGTTTAATAGGGAAAAAAATCTTGCAGTATCTGTGGGCCTTAATTAAAGAAAACTGGAGGCCACTGTCCCAGACTTTAAAATTATCATGTAAAATTCTCTCTTTCTCAAGATACAGATCTTTGTGCCAGAATGTTGATTTTACCTCTCCTCTCCTCAGGTCAAGCTGATGCCACCAGCCCCCAATGATGACCTGGCGTCCCTCAGTGAGCTGACTGACAGCAGCCTGCTCTACGAGATGCAGAAGCGGTTTGGCAATGACCAAATATATGTGAGACTCCAGTGTCCTTGTGCCACTAAACAAGGAAACCCACTTAACATTAAACATGCATCAGAGCACAAAACTCACACAGAGCACAGAGAAATATAAACATACATTCTCTCTCGGGCATAACCGGGCCCCTGTAGTTGTTTATTTGTGTTGTGTTGTTTACGGTGTGGGAATTTCAGAGTTTGATGTTTGGACGTTCTTTATACACATGAGCAGTGCAGTGGGTTTCCCTCCAGCATATGTACATGTAGTGTCACAAATAGTATCACAAATACTGTACCATCTCTCCTGAAGGTTTTACAGATAATGTGTATATTTGTGACCTCTGACACCTGACTACTTTACAGTAGTTTTTTTTTTTTACATAGTTTATTAGTCTCAGTAGTGTGTACAACAGATTGTGTTCATGAGCTGAATCCCTTCCCCTCTCTGTTTCAGCCTGCTGAATTGTGTAAGAGCGGTACCAAATTCTAAAACACACATACTTACAACAGTGACAATTACAAAATCAATACCATTTAGATCGATTGGAAAGATAAATCCATAACTCTATTCAGGAATAAAATACATCATCTCCAACAATAGGACCATTTTATATTTCTGCCATTTTTCTCCTTTCCGTTAAAAACGGTAGTCTGGCATCTCCATGGGGACTGAGCTCTATAAAGACTGGAACCAGATCAATGTGGAGCTATCCGGTGCATTCTCTTCTCTGTGAAGAGAAGGTAATAGTCTGGTATTGTGGAAACACAGATGGGTGACAGACAGTAGGGTTAGCCACAGCAGGGGATGACAATAAAAGGCAGTAGAGTGGTGGATGAAGAAAAGAGAAATGATTAGAATTCAGAATAATGAGGGCTGGATTTGAGGTACAGTCAATTTGGAAGAAGAATTGGTGGAAAGAAAGGACAGTTAGTGGACAAAGGGCAGCTTTCATGAGGACTTTGGAGCACGATTGATTGTGTAGAAGTTCCTCTGTCATGGAAATACACATGTGACAGTTATCCATTATGCTCCATTCTGTTGTAGATTCCTAACTAAAGCCAGTTACATAAATAATGTTTTACATGTAAATATAAAGTACGTAGTGCCCATCTTTTTTAAGTGTTTACTTAAAAATGACCAAAAACTACCTATACTTTTCAAGTTATGGAATTAATTAATTTCATTGCATTTCTGCACTTCTCCTTCTTCACCTTCTTGTTTCTATATTTAAGGTAGCTGACCTTATGTATATAATAAGGGGGAAGTCAAGAAAGAGGTCAATAAAGCAGAGATGTGGTAAAGGACAGGAATAGGGAAAGGACAAAGGCAGAGAATGCTCCATATGTTCCCAGCAGGGTGGTCAGAGGCGGGCTTTGATGTGTTGTCTGCTGCCTTCTGCCAGGATAGAAGGACCAGTGCACAGCTAAACCCCTGAGGAGAGTGGCAAGGAACTGGGGAAGAATATGACAGAAGGAATTGGTGTAGGCTGGATTATTGACAAGCACGTTACAAAATTAAAGTTAGTTAGTGGGGGAGTTGCTCACTGTTCTCAGACAACTTTTACTCAGTTAAAAACACCAAACTTGTAGTGTCAATTTTGCCCTGTGTCCCCAAGCAGTGGGAATTTATTCAAGTGATTAACCTTGAGCCAGGGCCTAAGGACAGAGCAGCATGTTACAGAATGTTAGCAATGCCTGCGCTCTCCCAGGGGAAAGCCTTAGCTTTCAAACAGCCTCCGGGAATCTTTGTGAGAAACAGAGGGTTAGCACTTTAGTAGAAAGGATCAGATATAAGGGTCAGGTGGTTATTTTTATCTAAATGGCCTCAGGATATGTGTGTACGCTGCGTTGGAGGGAACATTTGTTGCTTTTATTGGAGAAAGGTGATTATTAAGGTTATCATTGGAAATCCCTTACTGACCTTTACCATATTCTTATGATAATAGGCATTGTCAACACCATCAGTACTGATATTAAGGAAAGATTTGGACAGCACTTTTATTTTATTAAGTGTTAGCTTTAGGCATGTAAGTGATACTCAGCTTCATCCTGTTTGTATATCAAAACGGAATATCAAATATTATAAAAATAAACTCAAATAATAAAATAATAAATCTATTCATAGATTATAGAAAACCCACTGTAAATGATAAGGGGCATAATAAGAATAACAATAACAAGAAAATAAAAACATCTAAATAAGCAGGATCTGCTTTCCTATAAAAGACTTAAGAGAGACTTAAATATTTTTATTTTATTTTACATTGTTGCATTCACTTGTTCTGAGTTACAGAGTAAAAAAAAATCAAGTGTGTTTCTTCTTCTCCTTTGTAGACTTACATTGGACACATCCTTCTGCTGGTCAATCCAAACAAAGAGCTGCCCATCTACTCCACTTTGGTAGGCATGCATTGAAATTACTTCTATTTCACGTAGGCTTACAATAAATGCTGTTCAGGTCGCTGTACTATGATGGCTTTAAATTTGCTAGGCTTGGCATTTTACATTCAAAATCAGACTATAAATGAGGCATGTTTGGTGTATAATAAGCATGAACAGATTAAATGGAACTTGTGGTTGATAAATAATTCATTCTTCTTGTCAGTGATACACAGCACATGGCTGACTAAGCATCAGCTAAAGAAGAGAGGGATCCAGTTTAGCTAACACACACAACCACATTCGCTCTTAAAATCACATTTTTGACTTTATTATTACCTCTCCACTATACTTTTTTTATACTAGTCTTTATTGATGAAAAGCAACATTTGACATATGCAATAATAGCAGAGCCTGTCAGTGAATGGCTGATTATTCAATCATCATGATAATTTGTTTAATGTTGTGATATCAGTCAACAACAGTTTGCGTCGCTGCGTTTTAGTAGTGAATAACTGATTTTGAAATAGCTGAATTAATGCCAGCTTAGTGCTTGCCCATGTGGACCCAGGAGGGGTTGGATGGAGGAGGAGACATCTTCTCCTGCCATGACGGACTGAAGCCAAGCCCCCTCTGGCTGTCCCATCCCTGGCTGTGTCTGGATTCACTCCAGGCATCCATACCCAAGTGAGAGGGTGTGTGGAGGAACAGGGAGGAGCCAGTGTGAGGAGGACATATGTCACAACATGTGTGATCTGCTGGCTGTCTGTCACCCCCTCTGGTCTGGTGGTCCATATAGCCCATCTTCCTGCCCTTTTTATCTGCTGGACTGGTCACACATAGGGGTGTTACAGTACAGTCATTTCACAGTTCAGCGTGATAGACAATTGAGGGTTTAAAGTCTGATACATTTACTCTTTGTTTTACAATGGTGGAACTGTGACTGTTAGGTGTCAAGTTTCATTGTTCCTACTTTAAATAAGTACTTTTCTGTTATAGGCTGTAGTGCATCTTTATTTAAGTAAAACTATGCAGAATTAACTTTTCTCCGCTGTTTTGATTGCTTTAACGAATATTGTAGAGCAAACAATCTGGATCCATGGTGACGATTTTGAATAAGGAAATAAATATTGTTCAATTTTGACTGGTGTGAGAGATGGGAATTCAAAAACCAAACAATACATGGTGAAGAGCCTGATTATTTGTAACCCATTTGTATTATGGGTGAACTTAAAGGTTTAGCAGGTAAATTAACCAGTTTTTATTTTCTATTTGACTGTTAAAAATAGTTTAAAAATTGTATTTACTTTTTTTATATTTCCCTATGTTGCTTTTGTGTTTTTTGCAAAGCACTTTGAATTGCCTTGTTGCTGAAATGTCCTATACAAAAACATACCTTGCCTTGCTTTGTTAGAGTAACATTCTTCAAACACCTCTGTTGGTCAGAAGTCCCAAAGAAAACATCTTCACACAAACTGATTTACATTATGCCACAATATATTGTTTCACCCTTAAAAGGATGCAGATAGAGTCAGCTTCAGTGTATGTTAAAACTGATGATAGTTTTCAGTTAATACATAATTGGTATATTGGTCAGTTTGGGTCAAATTTCTTTTTTTAGACTGAATGGTAAACTAAACCTTGTCAGTGAGAGGGAAACACAAACTCACACAGGTACGGAAAGTTATACCCAGCATGGTTTGACTATTTTGTTGAAATGTTATCCTCTGTGTTGCTCAACCCATGTGTGCATCCATGTTACATAAAGTTGTAATCCGATGTCTTGATGGACTCTATCTTTCTCTTTCAGGTGAGCCAGTTGTACCTGAGCTCCACAGGTCGTCTGTGCTCCTCTCTGCCTCCTCACATCTTCTCCTCAGCAGAAAGAGCTTACCACATGATGCTGCAGGAGAGACGCCCGCAGTGTTTTATCTTGAGGTACACCCTCCTCCTCTGACACACAAACACACACACACTCTCACAAACAAGGAACTCTGCGCCTCGGAATTATGAGACAGAAATGACAACAGAGCAAAATAATTGCGTGAATAATAGTAAAGTTCAGCTGGCGACCTGGTTTATCCACACCCCTCTGCCACACACCTGTTAAACACTCCCCAAGAGATTAATAGCTCTCAGCCTGAGCTTAGCTGTAGACCTGTTCAGTGTTCACACAGAGATGGATTTTTGCTGGGAGCGTTTTACCATCTTGCTCTTTGTCCTCGCCTGGACGGAGGCAGCTCCCAAATTGCAATTAAATCCTGTTCCAGCTCTCCAGTGACATTCCTACTGAGTTGTAACCAATCTGGCTGAGAGTTAATGTGCCCTGGCCACAGACTATCCATCTCACTCAAACACACACACAAACAAACCTAAACACTCACACGCAAGGACATTGTACTGTGCATTCTCACATACACACACTCTCTTGTTTCCTTCATTCATTCCGTACTGCACTTTATCCCTTCGTTTCTTGTTTCTCTTTTGCACAAGCTTCCTGGTTCACTCTGTATTTCCTCACACGTGCGCAAAACCACACACACTCACTTACACATTTACAAGCAATCAGCAGCTATGATCCCCCGAGGCTAGTGCTCTAACAAAATGCCCTTGAAATCTAATAAAAACTGTAAATGAAAAGACGGTGGAAAGGCCTTTGGACTTCACACTCAGCAGGGCTCTTTTCTAGGAAATATAGCAACACACATACACACAGACAAACCGCGCACCACAGCAACATTGCAGTCATTAGTAAAGGCTTCTGACCTTCTGATGCCATCTGCTTGGTGTTACTATGCTGGTCTCAACTCTCTGCATGTCGGTGAGTGTCAGAGCATGTACTGTAGATGTACCTTATGTCAGAGTTAATATCAACACAATGCTAAACTAAATACAGGCCTTCACTGCCAGACAAGTTGTGACAGTATCAGCGTGTGAAAAGTGGTTGTCAATGGAGCAACACAAGTTGTGTTAGAAAGAAAGAATAGATTGTGAATTTGATGGGAGGGGGTCCCTGAAGGGGTGGTGTCAGGTGGGTGGAGACATGTAACAGAGGTGACAGATGTGGGAAAACACCCTGATGACTAATGCATAATACTTATTCTCGTGAGAGACATTCAGAGAAGTGTAACACACACACAGATGCATGATTTTTGTACTGTTTGCCATTTACTCTTGATGTATTGCAGACTTTATTTATTATTATTTATTACTTTTGCTTGCCCATTTTTGGCACTGTTCCCTATCTGTTCATTTCTTTGCTGTTTCTAAAAGCAAGTTTATATTTAAAATAGGGGTGTAATGAGACACATAGCTCGCAAGATTAGACTAGAACACGATATTCATGGATTCATGAGATAGAGACCAGATTTTTTTTTAAATCTTCAATGCTGAATTATATGAACATTTTGAGCATTAAACAGTTACTTTCCTGCATTCTGGTGAAATTGTCTGCACCAATTTAACACAAAATTCAGGTTGCAGGTGACAATTCAAAATATGAAAATGTAACAGAAATAATGCAGTCAGGCTCTCATTCTCAGGCACTTTATATTTTGTTCACATCAATTTTTGCTAGATCAACTTGTGTCATGTAATATCATCCCTGCTGAGTCAACACACATGCAGGCGTGATTCAGTCTTCCCCTTTTTGAGTCTTTTGTACGGGGAAGTATGATCTTTAAATGTCCAGGCACCTTTTCATCTCAATGATAAATTAATTCATTTTGATTCAGTTATAAACTCCTGGACTATAATAGCTACTGTGTGTCAGCAGGTTTTCTACTCATGTTCAAAACTTTCTGCTCATTCAAAATCTATCCCACATCTGTGTAGAATAATGATTTCATTTAATAAAATTATTTATTTATTTTTTAACTACCTGCCCTATACTCTGATGTGCATTACGTTATTTCCAAAACTGACCTACAACACTTCTGATCAGGTATAATTCTCACCACAAATCCACACACATGTTAACTTCAGCACCTCCGATAAAGTTCTCCTCACATTCCCAAACGGAGCAAGTTTGCGCTTTAGTTTTTAGATACAGTTTTTGCAAAACTATACCTGTTAGTTACCGCTCTGTCACGACTGTCTGCTCGCAGTGCGAGAGCGGGTTCACTTAATTATTATCATGGCATACGCTGGTGTCGCATCAGCTGGGCGGAGTTGGTTCACTCCATAAGTCGACATTATTAGTTATACATTTATTTTTCACAGCATGAGAAAATTTAATTGTGGCATGACAGCATGGGAAAAATGTAAATTGCTATTAACCTGACAAGAAATCTCATCACGTTTTACCTTTGTGAGATCTCGTCACACCACTTATTTAAAACATGGTTGCCAAAGCAATGATAGCAAAAACATGTATCAACATTGTGTCTTTGTATGTCTTTGCATGTCTTTGCATAATATGTTTTACGTGAGTGAAATATAGTATTATCTGCTTACGAAAGGGTATTGTAACCTCTATTAATATCATAATACTGCAGAAACTCGTAAGGGCCGGTGTGAACAGGAGGAATCATCACAGCAAGCAGAGCCTCTTCCATTGTTCATATGTGCTATTGTTTTAAAGCAAACACATGGAAAATTAGAGACAACAACAAGACATAAAAGAAAAAAAGCATCACTTAAGGCTTGAATGACGAATGATGATGATGATGATGATGAATAAATCTGCTTTTTTCTGTCTCTCCAGTGGCGAAAGTGGTTCTGGGAAAACAGAGGCCTCTAAGCACATAGTGAGACACTTGACAGCCCGCTCCAGCCCCAAAGGCTTTGCGCTGGAGCCCAGAATGAAACACGTAAGTCTGGGCAGTCTTCGGATTTGTGGGTGCCCTGGAGGCTTATATGGCTAAGGAACATGTGATGTAACCACCATGAGTCTTGAATCCTTTGTTGCTCTCATGCCCTTGTTTCTTTACTTTGAGTTTACATAAAAGGCAAACCGCTAGACAAATAATCTTAGTATACAGCTGCGCAGTTCATTTCAAATTCAATGCTCTACTCATCCAGAACTTAATGAATATTTGTGTGTTCTTCAAAGCAATGCACTGACTGAATCTTTCTCTCTGTGCCTTCTGTCTTTCTATGCTTATTATTCTTCCACCATGTCATCTCTGTGATAAAAAAAAGCTGTGTAAAAGCTGTGTAAATGTATCCTAATGTTCTTCTGTTGCTGTGGTGGGGGAGAGAATAGATGTATGGATTAGTACACCAGAGTATGGGGCCTTTACTGGTAGTCTTTTCTTTTCTGCTTGATAGCTGTTCATTTGTCGAAGACACCATTTGGGCATTAAGACCTTGTGTTTGATTGTATCATCGAGATTTCCATTAAAGTGACTCTATCTCTTGTGATGCTGCTTCTTTCTAGAACAGGGCCATTTGCAGCAGAGACAACTGTTTGGCTGTTATTCTTAGCGGCAGTCCTTTTTCCGTTTCCAAAAAATGACAGGAGATTACAACAAATAACCATATCCCCTGCCTGGATACAATCATAGAATAGATAATAACCAGACATTTTGTATAGAAACATATAATGATATATTTTTTCAAGTGTTGAAGCAAGGTCTGTCATTTAGGTCAGCCCCTTACTTCACTGCTTCTCTTCGTATTCCCAGTTGTGTGGTTGTGGTTCAGATTATGATGCGTTCATGGTGCTTAACACCATGTTCTGCGCTCAGTCTACCGGTTGGGTAACAAAGCGTGCTGCGTTTTGATGAAGTCATCGTTATGTAGTCGATAACTGGGTCAGCTCCTTCTCTGATCATCCTGGGGCACAAAAGAATGCTGAGGACCCAGCTAATGGAAACATATTGACATCTAGTGGTAGAAAGTGGAATTGGAGTAGAACTCCGTTATGTTTCAGGTCTAGAAATCTGTGTAAGAGAGATAGTATGTGTGGGTTGATTTCATTATTTTGGAAAAGAAATTAGTGTATAATCTGCAGTGTAAGTGATTCTGAAAGATAGTCCAAATCTCTGGTAACATTTCCCTTGGTTTGATCAAATGGACAGGTTAACTGTATTCTGGAGGCCTTTGGTCATGCAAAGACTCTGAGGAACAACAACTCAAGCCGCTTTATCAAGCTGTTGACCATCCAGTACTGTGAAAAGAGAAGGACGCTGCTCCGAGGTAACCTACATTTTTGCCAATGTAGCACTCCATGTGAACTGACTGTTTGGTAGTAAGCTTTATTTTCACTTTTATATATAAGTATTGTCTTTATTACACATGAGACACGAGACAAGGATGACAAGCTACTCCTGTCAAAACATTTGACTCAGTTCTTCAAAATGTTATATTTTGGTTTAGTTATACCAAACTGGAAATAAAACGCTTCCCTACATTCTTTGATTATTTAAATAGAATATGTATTGCCAAGATAACTGAGCAAATAGTTATTGTTTCCACAGTCTGGATCAATAGGTTTATGATAATAGTACAGATACCAAAGAAATAAATTATAAGTTTCTGACTATAATTAAGGCACAGTACATAATACATTTAAGGTATGATGATAATAGGCTGAATCCCAATTTCCACACTTACTGACTTTGAGGTGCATTCCCGGTAACTCTGTGAGGGCTTAGGACTGTCCCACTGTCAAATCATTGGGTGCATGAGGGCTCTCTTGCAAACTTTATAAACCTTTATTGCACACTTTCCATAAGACCGCATTTTCACAGACTTTGCCTGAGGGAATGAACCACATTTCATAGCGTTGCGACATTAAACACAGAATTACCAGGTGAAACCAGTGTTAACATGCATAAACAAATAAGTTTACATATGTATGATTCTGTTTTGATTTAAAAAAATATTAAATTTGTTATTATTACCTCTTGTCCACATTTAATTTTCAAATAATCAGTTTCCTTGGCAAGAGCTTGGAATACATTCAAATCAGACAGTCGGTCCCATCAGTGCATCGGCCTTAAAGAAAAGTAAAAACCCACAATTGTTTTGCTGTAGTCTTGGTAACGTAATGTGATATGTTGCAAATTCTGGGCTGTTCCATTTTACCATTTTGGGCCCTTACAGACTCTCACACTTATGCTATTACCAGGTGACATCAACTAACGCTGTGAGGGTTCAGGAATTAGGCTTTAGGGTGGAGACGGATTTAGCTGATATAGTATTCTATGAAATCAGGAGCAGAGTAGTGAAACACCAACAGGGGGCAGTAAAAGCCCATTAGACTATTGGTGTACTTGTGCACCATTTTTACAGCCCTGTTCACCTTATTTCACCCCAGTTAATTTAATCAGTAAGCACTGTGGCCACAAATTGAATGTTCTGTACTGCTGTCATCAGCACTGTTCAAATGTAACTTATTCACCTGTTATTGAAGTATAAAGCATCTGATGTTTCAGCCCATGTGTACACCCACATGCTGGAGAAGTCTCGCCTGGTCCACCTGCCTCCTCACCAACACAACTTCAGCATCTTCTATCTGATGGCTGAAGGCCTGTCACCGGAGGAGAACAGCGCACTTTACCTCAACAACATCCTGGCTCATAGGTACGTGGCTGTCAGCTGCCGTGTGTATATTGACAGTTCATATAATCACTGGTGAAAATAGACTATGGGTGCTGGTTGGTGAGCTCACCCACTTTAGCTGTTTAATGAGTTTAATGAATGAAGTGTTTGGCCACTTTCTGAATATATGTTAGAGACCTTAATTTGCTCACATGAAGTACTTACTGTGAAAAAGCTACAGAGCTCACAATCTACAGTTTAATCCACCACTTATAATATAAGACATTTATATTTGATTTCTTCAGAGCATACATGAGTGTTTGTATCATCTTTTATCAACCATGTCTTGGTATATGTACACCCTTTTGCGTGTCTGTGTGCACATTTATATGAATGTAGATTTTTACTTTAATCTGATTTTTCTTTGTGTTATACATCTCTACTCATGCATGTTCTTACTTGTAGACTGTGAGCTACTCTCACTTTGCTGTTATCCACTGTACACCACCAGTGTTATCACCAGTGTGATAACCATTGACCTAAATCAGTCTGTTTTGGAGCTTGAGAAACACACCAGCACCTCTAGCATCACACCAACTCATTGTGTCTTTTTGTGTCTTTGCTGAATGTGAGTGATCCAGTTCTGCAGATTTCAAACCCTGTTTGCCCTTTCTCTTCTCTCCCGAACACAGCTCTCGCTGTAGTGTTACTGGGACTGTATGTCATTCTGTACAAAACTGCCTCATAAATCTTGTGGTTCTAGATCTTTCTCATCCAAATTTATGAGCTCAAATTCCTGCTGAGCACATGGTTGCATGTTTGGAACGATGCACCTGTCGCTGTACGCTGATCACAGCATTCACCTTGTCCTTTGTTTATTATGTTTTTGTGGTTGTCTGAAATATTGGTCCACATTACCTCCATCTTTTTCTTCTTACTCCAGGTATCTTAGTGGAGGACTTCCAGGAGAGAAGCCTCCAATAGCTACAGCCTCTACCCAGAGCAGGGAACGCCTCGCAGCAGTCAAGCAAGCTCTGCGAGCCCTGGGTTTCAACAAACAGGTATTGATTCAGATGAAGGATGCAGCCCACAAAAATGGCACAAAAGGCTACAGGCTGAACCTTAACCTTGTCCACATTCTAACCTCACAAAGAGCCAAAGTAAGGTTAATTTAATTTACAAGCTTTTGGCCAATTTGGAAAGTAAAGTACATAAAATTGTATTAGCAGAATGTTGTCCCACTAATACCCCGTAAATAATGACATGGTCACAAGTAATTTCTCAGTTTCACAGGTTGATGAGGATTGCCCATGCTCCTTTAAACAACTGACCACTGGATTGTGGGACACTGTAGGCTGCAAAGGACACAAGAGTGTGCCTTCCCAATTCAGGCACAAGAAGCATTTGAAATGATGCAGGCATTATCGGCCTGTTAGGACACATCTGGCCTAGATGTGTGGATTTCCTAGGATCCTCAGCTCATCAAGTGTTTCAATTATCCATCCAAATACCATATAAAATGTGTCACCAAATGCAGAAGACAAGACTTTGATTTATGCATATTATGTGCATGCAGTGTGCTACAATGTGTGGTACAGTCCGTCCTGTGCACCACCAGCCATGTTTCCAGCCCATTATCAGGTTCTATTCTTAGATTCCCAGTCAGCATCTGTCAGCAGTGAGCGACCACCATCTCACCTTTTAATCCAGTAGCAGTCCATACACACAGGCAAGGCCTAAGATACAGAGGAACAGAGCAATAGATAGTGGTATTATCAGAGGACAGTAGTGTCCACTGTGTCCAAGGGACAGAAGAAGAAGTGGGTGAGTAGGAGTAGAAGTGATAGACCACCCATTGGTCTCTGTCTAAGTATAATCAGGGGACGACTCCCAGTCCAGACCCAAAGGTCATTCGTCATTAACGCTCCTTTTCTCTCCCTCACTCCCTTTCTTCTTCTTTATAAGTGGGGGTAGTCTGTGTATAGAGTGTCAGACAGAGACTAATGCTTGTGTTTATCTCCCAGATATCAGCTCCAATATCCTGCCTTGAGGGAGTGCACACACAGACATATATTCACACACACACACAAGCACACACCCTCAAACTCAAACATCCCCCTCTCAGAGATTCAGAGCAGTGGGTAAGGGGGTATTCCATTAAGTGTCCTCTAGTCAAGGGCAAAGAGGAAGGGAGGGTTGGAGGGAGGAAGAGAAGTGTGTAAATGAAGGGAGGAGGGTTGACACAAAAGCATTGTTTTTTTTAAGTGGTATTCATGCATTTTTGCAATACATAGAAGAATGAGACTTCTTTTTTCTATTTTTCTCTTATTGACTAGAAATTACAATTACATTGAAACCAACGTAAGTCAGTCTCTCAACGCTTTCTAGACATCTCTACTCTGCCTGTCACATTCAGCCCCAAGCCCATTTGTTCCTACTGGAGATGTAAATGTTTAAAAGTAGATTGTAAACATAGACTTAATTTTTTTTTAAAGCCAAGTAATTTCCTAAAACAGCTGTACACTGTAGTTCTTAAAACAGGAGTAGCTAGTCTATTTGTTGGGCACTATTTGGAGCTGACATTTGGTGAAGTGGTGAGCATTTTCAGCACCACGTGAGATTGATTTAAAAAAACAAAAACAAACTTGAGAAGCCATGGTAATGGAGGAACATCACTGATTTATCATTCTTTGGCCATAACTATACTTGTTAGTAAGTATATTTTCTAAGTAGGTTTGGTTTTTGGTATTTTCATGGGACTTGATGACATTAAGATAAATATAGAATATCTCTAGTCCTGTCCATTATAAGAGTTTGTATTTAGGATCATGATAAATTTGCTCTTTGTAAGTTGTTATTAAGCAGTGAAAAATGGAAATCCATGTTTTTTTTTTTGATTTTACTAATGTCTACTACCCTCAGTAGTTTGTCTCTCTAAACCTCCACTCTCTATCTCTTTCTATCTTTTCCATTGTGTGTGTCTCTCTCTCTCTCTCTCTCTCTGCTAGGAGGTTGACTCAGTGTTCATGCTGTTATCCGCTGTGCTCCATATTGGGGACCTACGTTTTACGGCATTGACAGATGCCGATACAGCCTTCCCTTCTGACCTGCAGCTGCTGGAGAGAGGTCAGTTACCCCCGTCACATGACCGGGGTCACATTTCCACCCTGTGTGGATGTGGGTGCGCCAAACCCTCTCATTATGTTGACCTCATCGTCATCAATCCTCTTTTGCTCTCTCCCTTGGAGTTGTGCTTGGCAGCTTGCCAGCACTAGCTGAATGCCAGTCACCTGTTTGGTAAGCCTAATTTACTGCCAAAATGTAACCATGGTGAGGAGAAATCGCTTTTACACACACAATTTACCGCTAGGGAGGTCAGTGTTTTCTCTCTCTTTCTCTGTCCCGCTCCCTCATTATGCAACCACTGCATGTGCTCCTGCGACCCCTGACCTTAGTGAGATGGTAAACAAATGACATCAGCGCCTGAATGGGAAAGAGCCTGTCGTTGTCAGGGAGATGTGATGTCAAAACTAGTGATGTAAGCAAAGGGACTCTAGGTTGCTGTCACCTGTGTCTGCTGCTTGTTTATGGGTTCTGCTCACAAATCCACTGATGACTAATTGCTGCCAGCTCCACCGATCGATTAAGCTGGAATTATCTGTAGCAGAGCTGAGCAGGATGGGTTCTGGGATGCTACCAGTGCTACCTTTCTGAATAATCACATCCTTACAGTTAATGTTTAATGCTGTTATTTTTATGTCTTTCATCATGTCAACATGTCATGCTGTTTGTTCTGCCTCTCTGTTTTCCTCTGCACAGTTTCTGGAATGTTGCAGGTGTGCTCCAATGACTTAGCACGGCCCTCACCTCAGACATCAGTACTTCAAGGTACCACTCACCAGCCTTCGACATCACCTGACCCTCCCTGTTTGACACACATAAGCAGATTCATTCTCTCAAAATGCTTATCAGGGGATTAATCTTTACTGCAAAGACAAGTTATAAATAGAGCTTTTAATAAGGTTTAATAAGGTAAAAGTCTGTTAACAATATAATGGCCTTTATTATTATAACATGAACACTCTTCATAAACATCCCTTATTGTGACCACGACATGTACAGAGTGAGACAGTTTATAGTTGAAAAATAAACTTCAGTGCTCTGTCATGGACAAATGATTTAGTGACACTACAACACTACTACAATTTACTTCTGAATTACTGCAAAATATTTTTGGATAGGATCTGTACTGAAAATTGTCAGCAGACATCTATGTAGATAACAGGATACCTGTGATAAACTAAAATATAGAATTAGGGCTAGGCGCGCTTGTTATTATCGTGTTAGCGCATTAATTAATTAATGCCGACAATTTTATCGCACGTTAACACAGTTTTTAAAAAAATAGTATTATTTTGAAAGTCCATTTCTCACTGGCTCTGAATAACATACAGTCAAACCATGGCTCACGGGGGGGGGGGGGTTGCCACCACCCGCGATCCGTTATCTCGGCAGCTTGTTAATGACACAGCCTATCAAACAACTCAAACAACCAACATCTGCACCCTGTGTGTTCAATGCTGCTTTAACATTACCTGGTCTGTGCTTGTGAAATATCCACTGCGACTTGTAACATCATTTCAAGTTTTTAACCAAGTAAAGTCTGTGCAAGCGAGTGAACACATGCACATAAGACGACCGCTGTCAGGCTTGTGTATTATCTAGCGTAAACCACTTTGATGGGTGTCTTCTTGCAGCAGAAAACAACAACTTTTGTATGCATGGATATGAAATCCCAGAGAAATTGGTTCCTTTTAATAAAATATGAATGTTATTCTGATGAAAGTCATAAAACCTAAAAATTAACCTTACAAATACCATCTATCATTATTACTGCATTATCAGCCGAATCATGAAGTGCCAGAAATTGTATTGCCATCTCCCTTTTGTGTCAGGTGACGTGATCACTCGGCGCCACACAGTGGAAATGTCAGAACAGTACAGAGACCAGCTCGCAAAGGCCATCTACGGACGCCTCTTCAGCTATCTGGTCAACAGTACCAACGACTACCTTCAGGGACAGCAGGACAGCATTGGGTTGTGGTGTGTGTGCGCCTGTTTCTGTGTGTGTTTATGCACGTGTTCCTAGGGGTTTTTACTATGGAAGCCTAGGATGTTGATAACTGTTATCACAAACACCACCAGTGTAGTTTATCTGTGATCGCACAAGAGCAGCTCTGGAGTGAGAGGACTGATACTGTAACATGACACACAGTTTAGAGTGGAGGTTTGTAATAGTTTACATTGCATGACATGCACAAATAGGCAAGTACACTGAAATGAATAATACTAAACAACAGGGTAGAGATGGAGGACACGCCCAAGGTTTATGTGGAGGTCACACAAGGACACACACATCTAGGTTGAGGCAATGGGATCCTTGGTGTTGTTGATGTTGTGAAGTCTTATCATGCTGTCAGATAACCCGGCTCCATCTTCTGGAATGTGTTTGTGCTTTGCATTGTTTACACACCAACCACAGAATGTAATTTGTCAACCACACTACTTACTCATGGCACACCCACTTCAGTTGTGTTATTGCATGCATGCGCACACACACACACACACACACACACACACACACACACACACACAGACACACACAAACATGATAATTCCTGTCAGAGTGACGGAGGCAAGCAACAAGTTCTCACATTGATCCCGGAGTTACAGTGTTGTAATTCATATGCCCTCTCTCTGTTAATTTCTTACAGTGATCCTTCCTTAGAAATTGGGATCTTGGACATCTTTGGGTTTGAAGAAGTTCAGAGGAATGGATTTGAGCAGGTGGGACAATCCCCCCCACCCCCACCCCCTCAAAATGCATTAGTGTTGTGTTTCTCTTCCCTT